AGCCTTGAGACGATATAAGTTTTTTTGGTTTCTGAAGAGTGTAAAGCAGTGTCTGGTTTTCTGTTCGCATGATTTCAACACCCACATTTTATTATTTTCAAATTTAAAGGGTCGCCGTCGTCCAAAATAGGTCAACCCTGGAACTACCGGCTATGGATATGTAGCATCAATGAGTGACTCGCCCACTTTTTTTGAGATTAATTCAAAATCTCGAATTTTTCTAGAAATCGGCCCCAGGAGTTATTGGACTGCTTGAACACAGATCTCACATTCGTTCACTCAAAAACGGCTGAAGCGTGCGCTCCGTATACTGGCGCCTTAACCTTATGTAGTGGCATGCAAGTTAGGAAAAATTTCGAAGTTATCGACCTCAGACTCATTCAAAAGCAAGTAGGGCTGACCAATGATGAAGGAATCATGTTTCACTACTGCCAAACAGTCAGTCACAAAAATGCAAAATGCAAAACAAGGGCCGGATCCGAACCACTGACCGCCGCAAATCGGGCACAAGCAGCTCACCTTAACCAGCGGTTCAGGCGAGGCAGCCACCCGATAGGAGCAGGATATGCTCATATTCACAAGCCGCATGCCTGCTTGAAGCCTCAATTTCTACTATGGTTAAACTGTGCGGACGGCGAACGAAAAACCCTCCGTGACTGCCGTTCAGCGAATCGGAGTCTGGCAGCATTCGGTGGAAAAGTGGGGGTCGAGTATCAGCGTCTTAGAAACCACAATACACGATACTGTTATCTCATTTCATATGGCCACTTCGACCCTTCATCCTTCCCTAGTCAGAGAAAAAATTCCTTTCATAATGACCAAGTCCTATTACCCCTTCGGAAGTCATACTGCCAATTTCGCACAATATAATGACCCTACCAAAAAACCTGGAAAGCTTCTCTTTCTTGAAATCCTTGGAATTGGCTAACCTTGCGGCACTTTCCCCAAATTCTCCCCGACTTGACACTCCAAGAGATTCCTTCGAGGAGCAATCGCAAGATACGGTGGCATCCTCTACAACTAGACCTGGGAGAGGGCAGGAACCTCAGAGAGAATGAAAACTGCTCAGGCATGGGAACTCTCCTTCATACAGTTTTGAATACACTGTCACCACAATGCCCCCGCATCTTGCGATAGCACCTCTGTCAGCTTTTTCGAAAAATTCCTATAGAGAAGCACGATGAGATTTCTTACGCACTCTCTATTGCGACTCTGCTTTTTTCAGAATTCGATGACAATCTCTTTTTGAAGACGAGCACAAGCCAAGAAATGTGCACAAATGCGCATAAAGTGGGAAAGGAAATTCCTTATAGATAAAACACTGCGTAGACCTACATGGTGGGAAAGACCAGAAGGACGTCGTGCCCTTCTTGAGGCGTTCAAAAATGACAGGCGTCAAGAGTGCAGCTGCAAATGCACTTTCCCATCCCATCACATCGATTCCTGGCTGTGGAGCGCTCAAATAGAAAGACAGAAAGACAGAGAGAGTGGGCCCGCTGCAGGAGAGCCGAAACAGGCCATCGGATGCGCTTATGAAATTGGTGTGGATCAGTTCCTAGAGACATGCAAAAAGACCATCGGCACCGTCAGCAGCTTACGTAGCATCCCAGTCACTTTTGAACGACGCAGATCTTGAACTATGAGACCACGGGACCACACAAATATTTGAACAGAGAAAAACGGGCACTTCCGAAAGGTCATTATGAGTGAAACACTCAACGCGGGAGATTACCAGGAACGTGAATTACTATCTCCAGCACTCAAGCCATGACTGGAATCGTACAAGGGGTGTTATAAGTGGATAGAAGCATCTTTGAGAACTTAGCCGGCTCTGTCGTATAATTTTGGAATATTTATAACGCTAGACGTGAATTAGATGATCACATAGGAAGGAGAAGCAGCTTGAACGGACTGGCCAGAAGTCATGATGTTGGTCCACATGACTTCACAATTTGAACGGAATTCAAGTTCGTGGCGTACCCAACAAAATAGGCGGCTCGATAAAGTTTCACAAGAATGCTGGATTGTGAAAAAACTGTTTCTTCCACGACCACCCGCCCAAATTCAGCTTGAGAGGCCACGGCAATGACCCAGACAGTTCTTTCTTTTTGTGGAGGCAAACGGGATCAAACTATCGAATTTCTGGGGATAGAAGAGTAAAAATAGACAAAATTCGCGATAAAAAGTGATGCTCATAAAAGAGAAAGATGGTCAATGGAGAGTGTAGAGAGGTCCAAGCAGATGATATGTGGCGCTTTAGCCGTAGAAATGCCCTATCAACGAAGTTATGAGGTGCAATAAAGTGTCAACAGAAGCTAGACATACCGTATCCCGACGTGTTGCGTGGTTTTCTTTCAAGAGCGTCAATCATGTCAAGCCACCTCACCTGGAAACTTTTAAATAGTTCCACGCTTACGCGTCTCGGTGATTTTTCTGCGCAGTTCGACGCGGGGGGGGGGAGGGAGAGAAAACGTGGCCGATCCTCACTCGCGCCTTGTGTCCTTTGTTTGTGTTTCCATAGTTGCACCATTTGGCACCTCAGCATTCACATTTCAACGGTACCATCAAATCGCGAATTTTGACTTTAACACTTTGAGACCAGCAATGACGCGCATGCGCGTCAGAATACACACGAATCTGGCCAGTTTCTTTTCCTATTTATTCGGCGTTTTTCTTATTTCAATACTGTCCGCATGCATTTTATCCGAAGAACTGTGCATCAATTACAGAAGTGAATTATCGAAGAAATCATGACGATTGGGAGAAATTCAAACAAAAGGTGGCGAAGCACACGCATAAATGGCTGTCGCCAGCGAAAAAAAGAAACACAACGTGGACAAGAAAAATCGCTCCAAAGACAAAAAAAAGAGTACATTTCGCCTTCTACTCACCATCAGCCTTTTGTTCAATACTTATCAGTGAGTAGAAGTTACTTCCTCCTCATTTTTTTGATGTAGATGAAATAGACGACAGACAGGAGAATACAAAAAATGGAGACCGTATCTCATGCATAGATGGTTGTAAAGTAACCAATAAGTTAGATCTAAAAAATTAAAAACTGCCGAAAAAACTACTCGGGTGAGCCTTGATTTCCGCGATGTTGCGCGACACTTTTAAGGAACGAGGTACTTCCATTCAACAGTCTGGACGAACCTCAGACGACCGGGTCTGACACTCCAAGCAGGGGTTTAGGCGGAGCCCTCGGTGATGTTCCTCAACATCCTCCACCACTAGCCGGTAGAAATTAGTTTTACGACGTTAATTTGAATAAAACTACCCTCCAACGTTCAGATTACGTTCAGGTCCATTGTCTCTCTTAGAAAAATTTCTTGTACAAACTCTTCAGGTCATTTTCAGACAACGAGTAATGGTAAACTCCCAAGTACCAAAAATAGGCATATACAGAAAACATCAACTTTATGGGAGGTGAATGGATCAAACGAAATTCTTCGAATAGATACCATACGGCAACTAACGTCATCGATTCACAAAACCCACAATAAACATTTTCTGCTAACCCATAAAAGCTGCACCAAGGATTACGGTATTTGATGCGCCAATGAGTTTCTTGAAAGCCGCCGACGCCCTCGCTTGAAAAGGGTTCATTGCAGACGTCGTTACGTCATCGATGCAAAATATGCGAGAACCAGAGCAAAAGGACTTCCACCGTCTTCAAATGTTTAAAGGACACAACTCTTCGAACATTACGGAGGAGCTTTCCAAAAGAATTGAACAAAAGACTAAGTTATCATTAACGGAGAAAGAAAATAAATAAAATGAAAAAACGCACGACCACAGCAAGACCAATTATTTGAAACTATATTGCGCGATTAAATACCTATGGGTTACTGAGCCCAAAATAGAAGCAGATTTGCCAACTGATTGACCCGTAATGAGCAAAGCGAACGAAACTGTAAAGAAAGCGTCAAATCTCATAAAGAGAGGGCTATCTGTCCGAGCTGGAATAACAATCATTTCCTGGCTCAGTTGTGGGTCTTCCTCTTTACCGTATAAGAGAAGAGATCAACCATTGGCATTGTATGGGCGGGGCGCAACGGATGCTCATGCGATCAGCGCGCAATGTGATTTTAAGGGTTTCAACATTGCACCTTCGTTTGTTCTTTTTTACTACTGATCGTCCAAAGACTACTGCTACTTTCGTTCTCATGTGCAGTCACCCGCCTACTTAGTCTTGGAAATCACCTCTCGAATAATTGCAGATATAGCGCAGTTGAGAATATGAAATTCTTGCGATGCGCCATGCACGTCGAAAATTTCATAAATTTGAAATTACACAAGCAGTAAAATCTTGAAAAGGAAATTACACAAGCAGTAAAATCTTCAAAAGCTTCGATATATAAAGCATGCCATTGACTCGTACAATGCCAGAAGTTTGCTTACTCTTTAACTAGAAACACCAACACGATCGTAGTGTCGTGGCAAACTCCGCCCACTATGGTGCATGTCCTGCCCACTTATAGATGTCGACATTTCTTCTGTAGACAAACTTTATAGACATTTTCCCGGTCTCTGGGAAAATGAGTCATTAAGTTTGTTACAAATCCCGCCCACCTTTGTAAATGCCACGCCCACCAATAGCAGTTGGCCTCCTGTTATTCGCCAACCTCTACCTGAAATTGCATTTCTCCGTGTCGACCACGGAGAAACGTAATTTTAGTGATAATGCTGGTGAATGAGACTCACAAATGAATAGCCGATAACGAGAATTTATCGCGCTTCCTCTGACTTGCAACCCCGCAAGTCACTGCGTAGCCACTAGCACTCTTAATGGAAGTAAAAATCCCGGCGCATTCCGAAAAGGGATTGATCAACGCCAAATGCTTTATTTCCTTCATTAATCCATTTTTGCGTCGTTGTTTTATGCCGTCTGAATAACTCACCAAAAGGAAAAGAAGCGTTAACCAGTAAAGTGCATAAAATCTCTGGACCTTTGGACGGGAATCCCTAAGCACCGAAGATCACCAACTCTATTTACTCACGTCTTGCGATCGAAACTGATGATCGTTCCAGCCTGTCAACGGCATTGGCATCGACTGCAAGTGCTCATCGATGGACATCGCTCGATCAACCAACGTGGCCACATCCGCTGACAATCGACTTCCCATTGCCATTGCGGGATCGACGGTGGCAGAGACGGCGCTGCACGGCGTCGACGGCACCACATCGCGTAATGGCAGCTGGTTCGCGGTCAATGTAGCATAAATAGACTGAAATCGAATCGAATTCAACTCTATTAATAATTATAAATTTTTCTTTCTAATGAAGCTTGACACTACACAAACATGAATTTTTCCCTTGGGAACTTCCACTTCGAGGTAGAGATTAGATAAGTGCCCGGAGATTGGTAGAGACGGCACCACGCGACCTGCGTGACTCGGTACGCATGTGGATAGTCCCTTCTATATATTTGGTCCCGGGCCAGCTAGTGGTAGGAACGAGAGAGAATGCGGAGAGCATTGGAGGGATCGTGTCTGCGATTTTGGGAAGAGGTTTTTTCGGAAAGATGATAACTGAAGGTCACGGGGTGAAGGGGGGGGGAGGGTGTTTAACCCTTTGACGACCGCCGTTATGAATGCGTCACTTCACTTCTTTCTAAATTTTTTCATCAATAATCATTAACTCTCCAACAATTTCACTATTAGTAATTAGCGCATTATTCCGCGAATTCGATAATGTATTTGTGTAGTTTTGAAACATAAAAAATGCCAAAATAAACCCCTAAAAACGTGTCGCCACCGAGCGAAAGTGTGGCCCACCGGCGGGCCACACGGTCGTCAAAGGGTTAAAAAGCGGTTCAAGACGTACGAAACCATGAAGCTTCTACAAAAGTGGTTGAAGAGTAAACGAGTTAGGGATGAGAACAAAAATTTCGAAATAGGATTGAAGCGACGACTGACCAGGCATGGTCCCTCCCATACTTTACTTCTGGTTGCCTGCTCCGGACAAACCTTACTATTCAACGCTTCAGTGCTTGAGTTTAATGAGTCTTGACAAATGAACCGTTGAAATGAAAAGCAACAGTGGCAAGCGCTTTGGTGTTGTTCAGACAAAAAACTTCCGCTGCTGACAACATGAT